TCCTCTAAGACTTCTGAACAACTTTAAGTAGATTTAATCCCACTTTAAATACAGCACAGGAAGATTCGAATAAAACACAGCATGGGGATTTTAGAGAGGGGTTTATTTTGTAACTAATAAAGGGTGAGGGGAATCCTTCCAGAAATTTCTGCCTGACTCTTTAGCCTAACACTTTTATGTGAGGGGGCTCAATTTAAGTACTAAAATGTACGTGAAACCCTCCCTTCCCTAATATTCAGAATGTGGTTTAACTTGCTGGCTTCTAGGTATTTGAAAATTATTTTAGAAGACAGTGCTTTACTGCATGTGTGTTTACCTGCAGATCTGGCTCTTTCCTGATATTGTTAGGTGCACCCATTTAAGAGAAGCCAGTTTTTGTAATTTCCTAACAAGTCAACAACATCCAGGTTTAGTAGGCCTTTTTCTCTTATTTTTAAAGATATTTTTGCTTCTTTATTCCCTGCTTGGATTCTTTCCGAAACCACCACTCTCTTTTTTTATCCCAACTTAATTATTTACTCCTCCCTTTTTCTGAATCTACTTTTCGATCTCCAGGTTTTATCTTGGTCTTTTTGTCATGTACCGGCTGGCTCCAATTATGGAAACCTTCTATTTCCACCTCTGAGATCCATATTTGAAAACAGCCTCTTTCACAGAGAAGTACACTTTTCGTAACTAGACTAATCCTATTCAGAGAAATACTGACTTTAAAAATAATGAGATTTTGGTTCTGGTTTCAGATAAACAGGAAAGGAAAAACCTTGCCCAGTTGGGAAGTAGCCTCTTGGACTTTTTGTCCATTGCTTGCTCAATGGGTTGTAACTTTTTGAGGGTAAGTTCTCAAAACCAGAAAGCTTTAACACATTCTTCCAATGGATTTCTACTCACTTGTCATCATTTCGTTTATCATTCTTTACAAAGCACAGGTGCTTTCCAGTTTTGCTTGCTTCTTTAAAAGACATTATTCAGATTATTTGAAGGGCATGGCATCCAGGAAACACTGTAATTTGCAGTGTTTTAATATCTCAATGAAAACATTTTTAATTTGTTGTTTTAATATCTGAATATCCTATAGAGGATCACAATGTTTTGCTCTACATTTTCGACTACATAAATGACACATATCCCTGGAGACTTGTTTTGTGTTCTGCCTGAAGTTCCTAGATCTTAGGTTTATTCTCCCTTCAGCTGAGTTACTGTGAGGAAGGACTGGGCTGATGTACATCACACTCTACTAGTAAAACCTGCTATCTCGTTTACCTGCAATGTATGCAACGCTTTTAAAGGTACTTAATTTGAGTCTTCTAGTTAGGTGAAGGGCGTCAGTGTCCTAATCTATCAGTACTTTAAGGTTGAAATACTATAAAAATATGAAATACTCATTTATCAGACCATCAATTCTTTGGTCCTTCAGTTTGTAGCTGCTCTTCTAACATGCAAATATGTGGAGGATTACCCTACCGCTCCCCTCTCCTGTTGGTGGAGGTGAAAATTCCAAGGTACTTTCTTGGTATTCTTTAGATTTTGTGTCTCCAGATTATGCTTCGTTCTCATCAATTGTGTTGAATAAAGTCATTCTATCCTACATTAAGTAAAAAGGCCATGAGTTCCTTTTAGTTTTTACTCCTACCTGTTGAAATAGTTTCAAATATATATGAATTTAAATATAGAGTCTATGACTGGCCCAATTAAATAGATTTTTAGGTCTCTAAACATGTATACTTTTTTTTTTTAATGTTTTTTTTATTTATTTCTAGGAGAGAGAGAGACAGCGTGAACAGGGGAGGGTCAGAGAGAGAGGGAGTCACAGACTGAAACAGGCTCCAGGCTCTGAGCTGGCAGTCAGCACAGAGCCCGACGCGGGGCTCGAACCCACGAACCGCGAGATCATGACCTAAGCGAAAGTCGGACGTTTAACCAACTAAGCCACCCAGGCGCCCCTAAACATGTATACTTTAAAGAATATAAGTACTTAAGTGTACTTATAAACCACATATATCTAAAATTATTTTTGAAAAAAATTAAAAGGGAGAAAAGTGAACAGAAATATCATAAACAACTATGTGCACATACTAAAATTAATAATAACTAGCATCCCATGTTATTTGCTTCACAAATTTGAACAAAACAAAAATTATAGGCACACTTAAAATTTCCATTAGCAAAAAACAAAACAAGATAAAAAAAAATAAGAACAAAAACATTTCCCTTGTCCACCATTTCCATCCCTTCCTCTCTTCATTATTATGAATTTGACCTAAGTTGTATCGGTTCTTATTTTATATTTTCACATGTTTATGTGCATCCATAAATCAAATATAACTTATAGGTATTTTAAAGTTTTATATAGATAGCATAGTATTCAGTCATTCTGCAACTGACTTTTAAAAACTTTATTCTTGGCGTGCCTGGTTGGCTCTGTCAGTTAAGCATCTGACTTTGGCTCAGGTCATGATCTTGCTGTTTGTGGGCTTACTGTATCAGGCTCTGTGCTAATAGCTCAGAGCCTGGAGCCTGCTTTAGATTCTCTGTCTCCCTCTCTCTCTTCCTTCTTCCACTCACACCCTGTCTCTCTCTCAAAACAGACATTATTTTTTAAATAAAATATAATAAGAACTTTATTCTTGCCAATGTATAGAACCATTTTATTTAAATATTTTTTAAAGTTTATTTATTTATTTTTGAGAGAGCAAGTGAACAGGGGAGGAGCAGAGAGAAAATCCTAAGCAGGCTCGACGCTGTCAGCACAAGCACGTCATAAACAGACACAGGTATGGAACCCATGAACAGTGAGATCATGATCTGAGCTGAAATCAAGAGTCAGATGTTTAATGACATACCACCCAGGCACCCCAAACTTCCTTATTTAATTTACTGCTGTATACTATTCCATTTTAGTAATCTTCTACCTTTCTTTTTTTAAACTTATTACTTATTGACGGCCAGGTTTTTGCTCTTATATACAATTTTACAGTGAACAACTCTGTGTATATATTACCCTATGATGCAACAATTTTCAAGACACATACTCTAATGGAAAAATACTTCCCATATGGTAATAGAGACATAATACAAAACTGAACAAGGTGTGTTGAATGAAGTACCAATGTACACGCCTACCAGATGTGAATAGTTTCAGTTTCCTTATTTACTTGCCAACACATAATGGTGTCAGACATTTAACACGGATCAAAAGTGAGTGAGAGATTTCCTTATGATATTATTTGCATTTTTTCTGATACTCAGACTTTTTGTTTTTTGAATTTCCTACTCAAATACTTTGCCTCATTGCATTTTTAATCTTTTTAAAATTTATCTATAGGAAGTTTTTATATATCCTAGATACAATATCTTTGTTTACAATGGTGCAAATTCCTTTTAGTATGTCGCTTATCTTTCAAATTTGATTATAGCATTTTCTATACATGACTTTTTAAAAAAATTTAATTCCAGTATAGTTAATATACAATGTTTTATATATTAATTATATATTAATTATTAATTATATATATTAATTATATATAATATATATATAATTATAATTATTAATGAAAATTAATGTCTGATAAATGAAAAAATTAAATAAAAAATTAATATAATAATTATAATTATATGTTAATTATTATATAATATATATTATATTATATATTATATAATATATATATTTAATATATAATTAATATATATATTAATATCTATAATTATATAATAACTATATTGATTTATAGTTAATATAACAATAGTTTCTGGTGTACAGTATAGTGATTCAATAATTCTATACGTTACTCAGGGCTCATCATGGTGAGTATACTCTTATCCTTTACCTATGTCACCCATGCCGCCACCCAACTACCCCTCGGTAACTATCAACTTGCTGTCTATAGTTAAGAATCTGTTTTCTTCAGTTTGTCTCCTTTTTTCTTTGTTCATTTGTTTTGTTTCATTAATTCTACCTAAATCATATGGCATTTGTTTTTCTCTGAATGACTTATTTCACCTAGCATTATACTCTATAGATCGAACCACATCGTTGCAAATGGCAAGATTCCTTTCTTTTTTATGGGATGAGTAACATATATGACTTACTTTTAATTATTAAAAATATAGACTATAATATCTCTTCTGATTGATCATAAAAGTATAATTATCAATAATTCCTGTTCCAGTTCTTCTTAACTTATAATTCCAGCCATATAGTCAGGTTGAAAAGTAGTATTTTAACTTTTAGGAGAAATGTATTTGAAAGAATGACCTTATTGGGAATATCATAATTATTATGTTTTTGTGAATAATGACATCAGTGAGCTTTGAATCGTTAAAAGATATAGAACTTTAAAAATTAGTTTCACAAGCTTGCTACATTGTAACACTGAAAGGACCCTTAACAATCATCTTTCTCCCTTTGCACATGATAGAACTGAAGTCCAGAGAACGTTGTAGCCAAAGAGCCAGTATCCATGGAGGTGTACTGGCAGAATCAATGTGTATTAATTCCTGGTTCAGGTCAGTTTCCATTAAATCCCAACCAAAGCAGCTCCAAAAGCCAATAGATGTATTTCACTTCTTAGAATTAAAGTTTATGGTATTTCTAACTAGTAGGCTTCTTTTCCTTAAAGAAATGAGTAACGTTGAACAGTTAGTACTCTGATTTTAGATAACACCACCTTTCTTTGTAATGAAGGAAGAAAAGAACATGATTAATATTAGGCCCTTTAAAACAGGGAGTTAAAAGGAAGGGCAAGTATGCACAATCCGCCATACACATTGTTCTTCCTGGTGACTCCACTCAGCAGGGGACAAGGAACAGACATGACTCTGACTTGAAGAAGTTTTGCCAAATTCAGCCCCTAGAAACCTGTTTTCACATTTAGAGAAATTCTCTAGAAAAGGCTGAATTCAGTTTTCCACATGCAAAAGTTAAGTTTTGGATGCTGTTCATAACACGGAGAATGTTAACCGCAGAGTAATTACAATGTAATTGTCCTATTTTAACTACTTACTTTTTCCTTTAGAGTATCCACATTACACATCCATTTGTTACAGGAATCAATTTATCCATTCAGTTTTGTTGTTACTTTCCAGTTGAAAGAACCTGTGGTTAGTATAGGAATTAAACAAATAAGCCCAAGAATACAGCTTTGAGTCAGTGTGCAGCTATTTGGAAGAGTAGCTGAAATGCTCTCAAATATAACCTGAGGTGTTTATTTCCTGAACAGTTTGTAAGTAAGGGTCCTTTCATCTTTTTATACTGGTTCACCATTTATTTACATCTCTTAATGATATATTTTGTTGTTCTTACATCAAGGACCATATTCTTTCCAATTTGTTCATTTTGGATCAAAATAAAAATAGAGGGTATTAGAAGGAGAAAGAAAAAAATAATTATCTTAACACTATAGTACACTCACATAGGAAGGAAATCTACATGACAATCAAGTATGCATATGCAACCTCTATACCATAAAGCACTTGAGCCTTAGAGGTCCGTTTGTGTCTCACATGGTGTTCTCTAGTTGCCATGGCAATTACTCGTTTTCATTGGGTAACTGAGCGAATGGCCACATCTGTTCTTGCTGAGCTCTCTTTTCCGCCACCTAACACAGAGCATAGGGAATAGATTCGCTTCTTAGTGCACAAAGATTTACGTGCAGAAACGTCTCCACATCAAGGAGAGACCGTAAATCTCAGGTCAGAAAGTCACACTTGCCCTTGACTGCCTTCCTTTTTTTCTGCCCAAATGTTCTCCTATTCTTCTACAAACACAACTAAATATGCACTTATTCAATGGAAAAAGAGACATAACATTCCCCTTAGGCAATAAAGAAACATATATTTGTAAATATATCAAAAAATGGTAATTTGCGCTCTTGGCACAATGATATTCTGGAATTCAAAATAAAAGATTCCCATTGGTAAACTTAGATAAATCTATTTTCTCTTTTAAGCAAATATGTCTTAATTGATAAAATCCTGTAGGTAAGAGTTCAGGTGTTTTAATTTGGATGCAATCAATTGTAACTAGAAAATCTTTCTGCATCTTAATAAATCTGTACTGGCCTCAAGGAAATAAGTAACAGTTGAACTGAATCAATTCTTTCCTATTTCCTATACTTCTGGAAAGAAAAAAGGGATAACAAAGATGCATAGAGATATTCAGGCCAACATTTGGCTTGCTAATACTGAGAGGCATGAAACATATATGTATTTGGTATTTCTTCTATATCTTTTTTTTTTAAATCTTTGAATTATGGGATAATATCTGAGAGAAGAGACAGCATAGGACTTCTATTATTCCCTCTAGTAGTCAGGTACTTTTCTAGGGCTAAAACCTTATATTCATATCCTTCTAAAATGGTATAACCTATTCTATCTCTTTCGCTAGATTTTCCTTTGGAGCATCAGGATGAATTGTCAAGATCTAAGAGATATTCTAAAGATGTCATTGTTCTGGACGATAGAGAGTTTTCTTGAATAATTCTAGAAAGATGAGGGAAGTCTGAAATCCTCTGGTATAGGAAATCCTTACTGGCCAACTATAGACTACCCAATTGGTTTTCCAGATATTTTCACAGGATATTAAGGCATAGAGTTTAAGAAGAAGAAGCACTCCATTATGGTGATAAAAAATTCTGGCTGAGAAAAGCTTGACACCTATTCCCAAGCTGACCTAACAGTTCAGCTAAACCTGAGGAGACAAAGGAGGCTAGATTAAAGAAAAAAAAAAAGTGAGCATATGAGTACACAGGTGGGGATGAGCTTAATCTGTGGTGTGAAGATCCAAAAATGGTATCAAGTTAAATTCAAAATTCAAGTTGTTCGTCACATAGGCAGGAAATTCAGAGAGGCCTAGGCATGTGATGGTTTAATTCCTCTTCCTGAGGAGTAGGTCTGACCAAGAGGTCAGGTCTCAATGGTTGAAATGCAGTTCCATTAGCATTACATGTTAAGTTCTCTAAGGCATCCAAGGGTAGGACAAGCTGAGAGGTGAGTTCAAGCTATGACTCAGAGAGTATTGAGGTGCAAGGATAAGAAATGAATTCTCTCTCCTGAGCATGAGGCTAGATTCAAGAGACCAAATTAAAAGGTCAGAAACCAGATTGGTGCAGAGAAGTAGACTGTTGAAAGGATGAGCATACCGATGGCACCACTCCCAACAAGGCTAGTGTGCCTCTGAGAGGGTCAGCCTGATTTAGTTATTTTATTATAATTTTTAAAATTTTTTCTTATTTTATTTATTCTTTTTTTTTTGGAGAGAGAATGAGAGAGAGAGATCAGGGGAGGGTCAGAGAGAGACAGGGAGACACAAAATCTGAAGCAGGCCTCAGGCTCCAAGCCGTCATAACAGAGCCTGATGTGGGACTCGAACTTACGAACAGCAAGATCATGACCTGAGCTGAAGTTGGACACTTAGTCAACTGAGCTGCCCAGGTGCCCTGGATGAGCGTGATTTAAATGTACAATATCCAGCTTGTCATTCTGAAGGTTTAAGGGATCAGAGCAAAGAACCAAGAGACTATTGTGTCAGTCATGCTCGTTAGGAAATTTGCACATTGTAGACATTCATGTTCCTCTGATAAATCCACAGCTAAAAAATCTTTACCACTGGCTAATTCATGGATTTTGTGATTATCACAGAAAATAGGCCAAAAGGCAGAGGCAGATCCCTCAAGTCACCATTACTGTGCGAGTCAGAAGGCATGGAGTTATATGCACTTAACAACTTGCCTATAAATTATCAGTAGCATTTAATATTAATAAGTCAGATTAAGCTAATACATTGGGTTTCTCCCCTCCTTTCTTCTTTTACTCAACAGATATTATTCATACTACATACAAGACAGATGGAGTGCGAGGTGACATGGTGATACACAAGTATAGTAAGGCGGGCAGTCCCTCCCACAAGGTGCTTAGAGCCTTGCAAAGAGAGATGGTACAAAGCCCATTCTGCCATTCAGGACTCTCCTTAATCACGTTCTCTAGGCTGTATCTATTTCTGTCTTTTTTTTTTCATCCTGATCCATCATCTCTGCATTTGCCATCCTTTTTTGTTTTTTTGATTAGTACTGCCTTTCTTGACCTACTCTAGAGGCTCCCCTTCATATGTGCCCCCCCTCCCACTCTTACCCTTGGCACCCTTAGGCTCATAGTTGGACTCTTATGAGAAGACAACAGGATAAAATGCACAGATTTACATTTGAAGTGAGTTTGCAGATTGTTTCCTGAGGGATAATATTGATTGGAGCTGATGATGGAGATAGGTAGGTTGAAATGATTATAATTTAAATATTTATTATTTGTGTAACTAGAATATTTCCGTAAGATTGTTCTCAGATCCTATTAGATGGTAATTCTGCAAAGGCAAGGATGGGTCCCTTTCGTTCACATTTGTGGTCTCGGTGCCAAAACAGTGCCTCACACAGTAAACAATATTTAATGAATGAATGCATGCATAAATGAACAAACAAGAAGATTAAGTGAACAGTGAAAGCCAGGGTAGGGAGAAACAGGAGAGACTGGGAAGGCATTACTGATAGCTCTCGGGGTGAATGCTAGAGTGCTTTATTTGCATTTGGGGCATGTTATGGGAAATGAAGCATTAAAGAACCTTGAAACATGAAACCGAAACTTTGTCCACTTCACAGTTTTTCTTGGAGATGGTCCTTGCTCACCTCTAAAGAACTCTGCAGAAGGATCAAAACACTATATAGTCATCTCACAGGCCTTGGAATCAGTCAGGCCTCACTTTGCATTTCATAGCTCTGCTTTTATTAATTGATCTGGGACAAATTACCTCATCTTCTTGATCCCCAGCTCCTTTATTTGTAAAAACTGGAAAACAATATTCGCCTGACAACATGTCTGTGAGAGCTAAAAATGAAGTGCCCTGAATCATTCCATATAAATGCCATCTAGTATTTTTCCTTCATTACAAGGCTGTGTGTCCCTCCTGCCCTTCCTCACTGGCTCCCCATTCCTGCCCTTCCCCACTGGCTCCCCAGTCATCATCAGGCTATTTTATCTCCAACTCAGTTCATATTTTCTTTGTTAATAGAAAGAGTAAGCTATTGAAATAAATGATAGCAATAATAGCACATTTGCATTTTAAAGAGAATTCTGACAAATAAATTCCAAATAAAATGTGTAATTTCAAAGACTAGAGCCAGTCAGAACCAATAACAGAAGACAAATAATATGAGCAAACATCTGTAATAAAGAACTTAAAGTCTCAAGTTGTTCTTTCGAAGAACCCTTGAATTCTAATTAGTCACAAACTTGTATTTACATAATAAATATAAAAATAGGGGTTTCAAATAATTTCATTAACATTAATCTATCTTCACAATTGATGCTTCTCCCCATTTTCAGACATAAAAGCTAGTTAAATTACAAAAGAAATAAAACCTTCTTTGCTCCTAAGTTTGATAGATTTTTCTGAGGGAAATCTCTGTGGTTTATTTAAAACAATTCTTTGGGTGAAATTAAATGTTAATTACCAAATTATTAGTTCACATTTTAGCCAAAATGATGAATACATTTTTGACACAGATTTATAGACTTTTCAATGAGAAATGGCTCAATTGTTATACGACATGGTATTTGTCTTTCATATGTATGAACCAATGAAAAATGAACAAGTTTTATTCAATAGTACCTTTCTACGTTTATCTTCATAGACTAAGCATATTCCCTTGATTCCTCTGTATATTGATCAAAATATTGTGACAATGACATAGAGAAGGAAATTATCCTGTTTAAAGTCTGGTAAAAACATAGTCTGCACCAAGCTTTATTAGAGATGTCAAATAATTATCCTCTTTAAAAAAAACCTATGTTTTCTTTTAAAATGCCAAGAAGATACAGTGAATTCACTACCACATCCTACCTAAATGAACTAATAATACTACATTAAATATGAGAAGATAAAATTATAATAGAGATTTCTATGAAATTATCTTTGTGTGCTTATTATATCCATGAGTAAAAACTCTCTAGTTCAAATAAAAGGTAAATAAAAAAGAAGTTGTAAAGTAAGTAAAGGGCAATGCTTTCACCTGAGATTTTAGATTTCCTTTTCTTTCAGGATTCAAATCTGAGCCTGAAGTACCTGACATCTCAAAGAGAAGTAGGAATCATAAAGTGCTCTAGCTTTTATTTTTCTTTCTTTCTTTCTTTCTTTCTTTCTTTCTTTCTTTCTTTCTTTCTTTCTTTCTTTCTTTCTCTTCTTTCTTTTCTTTCTTTCTCTTCTTTCTTTTCTTTCTCTCTCCTTCCTTCCTTCCTTCCTTCCTTCCTTCCTTCCTTCCTTCCTTCCTTCCTTCCTTCCTTCCTTCCTCCTGAGTATAGTTGACACAGAAGGTTAACTCAGGAACTCAACATAGTGATTCAACAACGTTTGAACTGTGCTCTCCGTAATGTAGCTACCATCTGTGGCCATACAAATCTATTCATTCTGTAACTGTAGAATCTAAAAACCAAAAC